CGAGCAGTCATGCTCTTTAATCCTGAAACTGTTTCTCCTCACCATCCTCTGGGCTGCAGTACTTTCCKCTTGTCACCTGCCTGGCTCAGAGAACTCGTGGTCTCAACGCTTCCAGTTCCAAATGTGCAGATTTGTCAGTGGATGAGCCAGACGCAGGCACAACGCCCATGCTCAAATGCACACCCATGCCTCTGACTAAATGCCAGCACCAAGCTGTTGCCCATAAAGCCTTCAGGCTGTCACAATAGAGACATTACCACATGAGTGAGTGGCTCTGAATGGGGCTGAGGGTGTGTGTGTATACGGAGTTCGGTGGCTGAGGGGGGAGTCCCTGGCAAGGCAGACGACCCTGTCATCACCTCTGCCCCATGTCAAACAAGTGATCGCCGCCGATGGCACATGAGGCACACGTGCTCAGCTGCGCAGCCTGATGTGTTTACACGGGTTTGTTACTGTCTTCTGTTTTAATAAAAATATACTGTATATTCTCGGATCACATGTATAAGTTTTGAATGTGACGAAATCGCAAAGACGGGCAGGTCGGCTGGTTAGTGAATGGCTGACCCATCCGGGCCAAGCAGGGTGAGAGGTTAGAATCAAGGGGTCAGGAGAAAAAAGATGAAATACTTTCAGACCTATAGCGTTCTTTGAAGGACATGAGCAAAAACATTATCCCACCCTTTCGCCTTTGCTAAAACAAAAAGACTGTGGAAACAATTTATTTCTTATTAAAGAAAACAGATGATGTATAGCAGAAATGCATGAGAAAACACGCATTTTACATTTTTATCACGCAACTGTCACTGAGCTCTCTCAGCAAACTGTTTGTGTGTGTGGATCTACCCTTAAAATGTCCTAATGCACAAGCAGGCTCTTTAACAAGCCATACATGGTATGAGTGTGTGTGTGTGTGTGTGTGTGTTTTGGTGTGTATGTGTGTGGCAGAGGAAATGGCACGAGTTTAAGGGGCCATGTCACCCCGTCTCTGCTGGAATGCATGACAGCGGTGTTTTGTCAAGGCATGGATGAGTGCAAAATCAGAGGAGAAAAACTGAGAAAAGAGCTTGTTTAAGGAAGAGAAGGGGGAAGAAAAAAAAGCTGTTGTATCTTCTTTTTTCTCTCTCTCCCTCCACACACTCAGGGAGGAAATTAGGTCATCAAGTAAAGCTATTGCAAGGAACAAATCATCACCATAATTGGACCCTGAACAAATGTGTGGAGGTAGCTTGCTTCTCTCTACACACACACACACACACACACACACACACACACACACACACACACACACACACACACACACACACACACACACACACACACACATATGTGTTGAAGGGGTTAAAACAGCATTTCCACATAAATCAGAAGATGTTTGGCAGGTTCAMMGCTCTTTCACCAGCCTCATTTGGGACAGAAGCGTGCTAGAAGAACGTTACTGGTGGCAAATATAATTGTGGTCACGATCTCAACATAAATCATGGCATGATTGCATCACATTTGCCCCGGTGGCTGCAGGAAGAAAAAAAGTTCCCGATGCATCAAGTGACCTGTGGGATCTCTGGCTGCATTCTTTCATTTTTTTTTCTCAATGGCCACTCAGAGCAAGAGAGACGCCAGATTGGATATGAGAATGTGCTTTAAATTTGTTCAATATTTTAATATTTTTCTGCAGTTGTGACAAATTCTCAAAATTTGTTGGTAGTTTTTTGAACCATGCACATTAATAATAAACCCGAATTCATAAAAGGTTGTAATGTTAAACAAAATGCGAATAAAAATGGAATGCAACCGTTTGTGATTCTCAGAAACCCATTTTTTATACAAATTGGAGCACAACCAACGCATCAAATGTCTAAACTAAAAAAAATTAAACCAGTTTTTGTTTCTATTTTGATGACAACGGCACATTAAAAAGTTGGTTTAAACGCAACAAAAGACAGCAAAGTTATGTGGTACAAATGAGAAACAGCTGGAAGAATTTTTGGCAAATAATTAGACTAATTATTCATGCTGTAATCGGTTATTAGGTTGATTAGAGCATTTTTGAGAGGCCAAATATCAGAAGTAAAGATGGGCAGAAGTTCACCAAAAAACTGACTAAAATCAGTGAACCATTATATACTGTAATAACATATGAAAATTTTTAAAAGGCGTTTATAATCTCATCATCTGCAGACCATAACATAAGCCAAAAAGTTAATGTATTTGAAGAAATCTCTGTGGTCAGAGGACAAGGTTAAAGTCAGTACTGGATGTCTGTGATCTTCAGGCCCTCAGGCAGCACTGYATAAAAAACAGATTTGATTCTGTTACAGAGATTACTGCACGGGAAGGAACATTTCCACAAATCACTGCCTGTAAACACAGTTTGCTTTGCCCTCCACAAATGCAGGTTAAAGCTCTATCAAACAAAGAAAATGCCTTATGTAAACTGAAATGTAGTAAACAGTAAACAGAGGTCATTAGAAATGAACTGAGGAAAATTAGAAAACTGTTCTGTGGTCATACAGTACATCAGACAAAACAAAATTAGAATTTTCAACATATTTGTGTTTCTAATCAAGGACCAGACATCCTCCATGCTAAAGAGAGGAGGAACATCCTGGCTTGTAATGCACAGTTCAAAAGATCTGATGGTATAGGGGTACATTAGTATTTATTGCATGAGGAGCTTCCACATCAGGCACCATCAATGCAGAAGTTATACATAGGTTTGATAAGAAAAAACTCCCATCCTGACATATTTTCATGGAAGGCCTTGCATATTTCAGCAAGACAAACCAAACTGTACATCCGTRCAGCCACAGCTCCTATGATTACAGACTGTTAGTAAAAGAAGAGATGTTTCAAAATGGGAAACATGGTTCCGTCCCGTACCTTTTTGAGAAGCGTTACAGTATCTACATAAACCCAACCAGTGTTTTCAAGAGGTGAAACGACTCTCTACAGACATCTGTTCCCATCATGGATTCACCTTAAAGCTCAAAATGTGCTAAAGACTGAAAGCTTGACCCTCGACGCTTTCAGCTTTTCCTCAAACATTCCTAAGGACAAGCTCGCCTCATTATTTTTTCATGTCTCAGGACAGCCACATTCAACAAAAGGCAGTGCACATCCAGGCAACCTCAGCCCACATATAACATGGAATACAAGCTGAATAAATCTCCATAAAGTCTTGTCGGATTGAAATCTGAAGTGCACGTCAGCGTCGTCTGCAGCTGTTGGTTATCCAACAGAACAGCGTCAACAACAGGGACGAAACRGACATGGAGAAGACAAGCTGAGCAGTAATTGCCGTGCGTCATGTCACTTATCAAAATAATTGACAGTGTTTTTGAAAATGAGATGGAATTGTTTATGTTGGTGTACATCCAAACCACTGGATCATATATAAGACGGCTGGTTGAGTGGATTTGATTCAAATTTCTGGTAGCCTATAATGTGTAGTTTTATAAAAGAACAGAGAAAAAATGTTTTCAATGTTTCAATCTTCTTTGTCTAAACTCATGTGCATTTAATGTGATGAAATACCTAAAACCTAAATACAATAGTTTGGATCTTTTGAAGTGAGCTATGGAAAGGTTATAAACAATTGTAAATCTGTTGTAGAACAATCGTAGTTTAGAGAAACCGAGGTAAATTCTGTTTAAATGAATGAACCAGTTCAGATCGGGTCAATAGAAAAATAAATTAAAAAAACAGCTTTTCTCAAAAGATTCCAAGTGGTTCGTGTGAATGACATATTAGAATCTTGAATCTTTTAAACTTTGAAACTTTTTACATATTAGACAATCATTTCTGTAAGTGTTTCAGGCTGTTATGGTTTCTACTTTTTGTGTTTGGTTTTGAATTTTAAGTTTGTTTTGGTGTGTTGGTTTTATGACATTGAAAAGTACTTTTGGCTTTTCCTGTTCTTTGAGGCTTTTATCATACTTTTAGCTTAGTTCTATTTGTATGTGATGTCAGCGCACCTGTTCTCACTCACTGATCATCTACTCCAGTCTATAAACTCCTTGATTTCACTCAGTCTCAATAAGATCTATACTGTCTATTATCTGAAATTTTCCACTATTAAAATCATTTTGATTCTGAAGCTGACTCCTGCTTTGTCTTGCATTTTGGGCCATTCCGGTCACTCAAATTAGGGCACATTAAGCTTCTGAGATTTCTTCCTGACAGAAGTGGAAAAAAAATTGAAGCTTCTCAAAACTTCAGCGACAGACCCTATCAGTTACTTATAAATAAGGCAATTCAAAACAGTCACTTTTTTGTATTTCATTGTGACGTAGGAAGCCTGGAACAACATCTGTCACACGATGAGAGATTTGATAGAATCCTTGATGCAGCCTTTCAAACAAGTCGATAAAGTCAAACCTCAGCGTCAAACTCAAACCACGACACAAACTGTCATGGAAGACCTACAGCTAGCTGCTGCTGCTTTATGCAAATATCAACATAACCAAAAAATGATTTCATACAAAGCTTATGTTAAAGGTTTAGAATTAAGCTCTATTTTTCCAATCTGAGCCTTTTTTAAAAAGCCATCTACAACAGGTAAGATGTTAATTGTTCATAATCTTTCCAGAAAACTTCACTTTTGATTTAAAGTCTCGTTTTCTCATGCTAACTTTGCTCTAATAAATCTAATTAAATAATGTTTTTAATTCAGCAGCAGTGTTTTAGAATAAACATTAAAAAAAATGAGCTGAAAACAGCTTCCCATGTTTCTCACAGACTGCAGTGTTTCCAGCCTGCATGGAGCTTTGGAAGTGCTGGGAAATATTCAGGAATCAACCAGATTTTAATCTTGGGGGAAGAAAAAAAAAGTTGATGGTTTGTTTTGGTTTTGATGGTGTTTAAAGCTTCACTCCACAAGCCTCTGCCTCCCAGCGCCAGGCGACTGATTGACAGGACTTCTCTGACTGCGTGGACCCTCCTCCTCCTCCTCCTCCTCTCTCTCTCCTCACCTCTCCTCTCCTCTCCTCCTTCCCTTCCTCAATCGCAGGGCTGCGCTCACCGACTCCACACCGCCGACAGGGATGCAGCGAGGGCGCAGCGCGGCCTGAGGATGGCACCACCGCGGCTCCTGTGGATCTATCCGGCTCTCCCCCTCCTGACCACCCTGCTGCTGCTTTTCCGCGCGTCGCCGCCGTGCACAGCCGTGCGGAGTTACCCGGAGAATGAAGGTGGGTGCGCTGGCAGGCAGGCAGTGGAAAGGGTGGGGGGAGGATGGAGGTTTAAAAGGAGTTGGGTGACTCGGAGCACGGGGTGTGTGTSGGGTGTGGGGGAGCCCTCTCATCCCGCCGCGCCGCTCGGTACCGCTCTCGCCGGGGAGAAGCGCTMCTCTCTCWGTTATRAATCATGCATAAAAGAGGAGCGGGGATGAGAGAGAGAGAGAAAGGAAAAAAAGAAAAGTGTCCGTCACGTTTTTCTTCTCTGAGCCTGCTGACATTAAATTTGCATCATGTATATCCACACAGAGACGGACTGAGCCCCATTAGTCCACTTTGTGACACTGGCTGCTTCAAAGTAACTTGTACTGATTAGTCTAAAAGAACATTGGCATCTCTGTCAAAAATCCTTTAAAATGATCAGTCTCTTCCTGATTACACGCTGATAAATGTTGCCCCCCCCCCCCTTTCTGCACACTGTAGCCGTATTGCCTCTGCAAATGAGGAGCCGCAATTACATTAAATTTGTCACACGCCACCGTGGAGCCCCCMCTCTTGGTTATTGTATTAACATCGATGCTCCAGGCTGAAATTAGCCAATGCATTCACTTACTAACTACTCCTGACCGCTTGTTGGCCCGAAACGCGCGCGCCGGGCTGTTAAATGGGAGCTYGAAGTTGCAGCAAATGAAGAGAAGTGGAGAATCTCTGCGCGCAGAATCTGTTGGAGGCACCAGAGTTGGCAGCAGGGAAGCAGCTTGTGGGGAAGAAAGTGTGTGTGTGTGTGTGTGTGTGTGTGTGTGTGTGTGTGTGTGTGTGTGTGTGTGTGGATACTTGGCTGTCAGTCACACTGAAAGAAGATGATACATCTGTGAGATGTCTCAGTCAAGCTCAACAAAGCTCTCCATCCCTTTGATTACTCCTTTTCTCAGCCGCTTGCACTCATTCCCAAACTTGACCTCAGAGTAGATTTAACCATCAGATGAGTGGCAGTGCACCTCCTGTTTCTAGCTGACTTCGCAGCATCGCCTGTGTGTGTGTGTGTGTGTGTACATTGCACTGGATATATGTCACATCCTGCACGAACAGAACAAAGGCGCTGGAGGATGGATGGGTTGATGAGAGCAGAGTGGAGGAGGAGAAGTGTTTTTAACTGCATGAAATGGTGCACGTGCAGGAGACCCTAAACACTGCTGAAATATTCATAGGAAGGAGTGTGAGTGATGAAACCAGCTGGGAGCCAAAAAGGAAACTCCTGTTGATTTAGATAAACACTGAGCAGTGTGTTTGTGCTTTTTGTGTTGAGGACGGGAGTTTGGGAGGTGGCCAGTAGGTTAAAGTCTGTTTTTAAACGATGCACCGGGCAAAGTGTGTGTATCTGTCTGGTCTTTGGGACCACAGTAGATCTTGTGTTTGCAGAAGGTGTTAGAGTGTTTATGAACATACTCCCTTTGGGACAATAATTCAATAACCCCCCACACCCCCCACACCCCCACCCACACACACACACACACTTTGACTTCTGCTTTTACCTTTTGGCCTATACACTTCTTACCAAAGTCACTGTACTGCTCTGTACTCGTGATTCTCTATGCGTACATTGTTATTGCTTGTGGGTATTTTCCACTTTTGCATCATGTTATTTCAAGAAATCTACCTGGAAGCAGACATGAGCATATTTTTGAAAGAACTGAAAAGATAGCAGGAACACAAGCCAAAAAATAAAAATAAAAATAGATATGAGGTGTCAGAAAAAGTGTATTTTTGWATCGAATCTCTTCCATAACTGGTGGCATTTCCAAGAAAGTTTAAAACTGGGGGTTGGTAAAAACTTGGCGTGTTTYGGCAGAATTATTTTTTGTAGAAATCCTCTAATTGCTGCCTCATTGGGCGCATGTGAAAGTGAAAGTGGTTTCATTCAGAWGCTGCAAGAAGATCAGTCATTGAAGCGCACTGAAAGGTCTTTGTTATCAATCAGAGGGAGAGGAGTTGGGACACACCAGCAGAGGGAGCCCAACTCACCCTCTGTGTGGACCCTGAGGGCACACTGATGTAATCACAGGGTGGATGCTGTTCTCATCCACWATGTGTAACAACATGCTATCTGAACATTTGTTGTTGTTTTTTWGGCAACACTGTATTCAGCTGCATCCTGCTTGTGCAGAAGCATGGTGGCAAAATATGCGATGAAACCTCTATTTTTGTCCCTTCCCTCTRCTGCTTTATTTACTTTCTGAGTCCTGGARAAAAAAATAGGAAGCCTTCTGATTCCCTTTTGTGCAGCRGAGTGTTGACGACAGCACACTAATCAAGAGTGAATGAATAATTTGATTGCATTTTCTCACAGCGCAAATTGAGAAATTAAAGAAAAGGAGGGTGTAGACAGGCAACGTAGAAAACCATGACTTTTCTGTGGTTTGGAAAACATGGCTTTCCATTGATTCGGCCTCAAGGGGCGTACAGAGAAATGGCTGTATCGTTTCTTAAGGTCAACATGAGCGTGAACCGTTTTAGTGCAGAGGCAAGCACGTTTTATGTAAAGGTACACAAGATCCCAACTGTGGCGTAACGTAGGGTCAAAGGTCTCTTCGGCTTTAATTGTTTTAATCCATAATGGCCGCTTGTAGTTATCGGCAGAGCCATACCTCAGTGAGCGTGTGAGGGAGGCCGGGAGATGGCTCTGCTCCCATGTAACAGCCATGACCTTGGACAGAAGAGGATATAGATCTCCKCTCTCATCGGAGAGCAGCAGACAGAAGCCTGGCTACCTTTCTGTGTTTCTTTCTTTTTTCATTTCTTTTTTTTTTTTACCTCTGCTCCAATTTCTCTCCAATCCCTTTCTTTTATAGCTGCTCTTCTCTGTTTCCTATCATGCCCGCCGTCTCGTTTTCATTGGTTGCACTTCGTCTTCTTCCCCACTTCCTTTGCTCAGTCTTTTTTCTCTGACCTCAGATTAAACGGGAGGGCAGGAGTCATTATTTATTTATTTATTTTTGGTCATGAGCCAGAGCCTCTTTATTTGGTTAGCACAGCCTCATACACAAGCACAAACATCTGTTTAAAAGATCCTGATTGTTGGAGTGTTGGAAGGGACCATATGCTGACTTATAGGCAGGAAGGATGAGGAAGAGGAACAAATAAGCGTCAGTGACAAAGAATAAAAGCTGTAGGTGTTTATAGGCAAGTTAATGAAAAACTAGAGCCAAGAGCTAAAAAAAATTGGAGAAGTAAAAATCCACTTGGCGTTGTAAGGATCAGTAAGGACTGAGAAGGATCTGACAAAATATAAAGCCCCATCAGTATAGAAACCGAGATTTAATAAGGAACAAAAAGTCAGGTGTGTGGATTAGCAAACAGAATCCTGATGTGCAGGAACCAGAGATTAGCTGAAAAAACATCCAGGCACCAGAAACTGAACAAGGCTACGGATCACAAAATAAAAGTAAAGAACTGTAAAAACCAAGACAAACATCACAGCTGAAAACTGAACCATAAAACACAACCAGGGAAATAAGAACAAGAAGATAACACAAAAGCATAAACATAACAAAAGCCCATAAACCACAACCACCGTGACACACATGCAGAACTCCACACACCCGCCCTGTYTTAATGTATGGCTGGGGGGCAGTTCGGTGGTCAGAGAACGGCGTCACACACTCCACAGGCTGACTGATAGATGGGGTTATAAATATGAGCTAGTGACAGAAAATGATTCTGCCACGAGGGCTTCACCTCATCATGGATTCATTGTGTGTGAGTGTGTTCATGATTGTGTAGATGTGGATTGCTGGTTGGAAGGATTTGCTGGATGGAAGGACAAGGGGGTTGGAGGGTGCAAATCTCATGTGAGGAGGACAAGAAGAACAACAGCTAGAAGTCTGTTTAACTGAAGCAGAATCCAGTAATCCAGGATTTACAAAAAAGACAACTGGGCTTGACTAGGATTAACTAAACCTGGCTGTTAGCCTGGTCTGGAGCAGGCTAACTGGCAGAAAATGAATGTGAATGGGTTTGTACCTCTGCTTTTGTGAAACTGAAATAAGACAAGATATTCCAGCTTAACTGTAAAACCCTAGCTTATAACCRTTTCTAGATTTTTTTAAAATAGCCTCAATTTAGTTGAACAGTAATCATCTTAGTTTATGGTTCAACAGGGTTCATTTAGTATTTAGCTTCATCAACTGAAAATCTCATTTTCATATGTGACATGTGATATATGATATCTGACATCCTCAAATTTGGCACATTATTGGAAGATTCCAGTGATCAATTAGCCTGGCCCTTGCCTTCCTACACAGTTCCACTCAATTCTAGTTTCCCTTCTCTGCTCCGTCTGGCATTTCTCCCATAGACAACGATTTCGCTGGCAGATTTTTAGCTAGGCCAATCAGAGAACAGAACGTCGATTTTCTGCGCAGTGTCTGCTTGTAGTTTATTTTACCTGGGCCAATCAGCAAACAGAAGGCAGAGTTTTGAACAACGTCGATTTTCTGTGCAGTGTCTGCTAGTTAGTTTAGCATACAGCAGTAGAGGAAGTGAATGAAGCCAGTCTGTGTTGATAAGGCTTCCAAATTAAATTAAATTTGTCTGACAAAGCAGCAGCTCTCATTTACAGCCGTCTCGTTTGGCTCGGTGCTTTTCTCCTCTCAGAAGGGTTGTTTACAGCACACGCGATTTCCGGTTAGCTTCTTAGCTTAGCGGCACACACACATACACACACACACACACACATGCACGCACGCACCCACACATGCTTCAGCAGTGGCCACGCCTTCAGCAAGAATCGCTTCTGTATGCAGCAAGTCCAGACCCTAGTACGAAGCAAAGTGAAGGACAAGGGTCTGGTTTTTACCAGGCTAGTGATCAATAGTAACTCTGTAGATGCATAGTATTTTTTAAAAGATAAAATACATTTTTGTATAAACTGTTTTCTACATTCTGAGCAACTTTCAGAAAATCTGTTCACTCAAGTGGTTTTTAAGCATCTCAAGTGCAAAGAAATTTTCCTTTTT